TCTGTACTGACTTACATGCAAGACCCTCAGATTGCTGTAGCAGTAAATGATGCCGGAGCTGCAGTATCACAGGCTGAAAGAGAGCAGTACTTTTAATATTCTACAAAAAAAAGATGAAAGCAGTTGTCTACCTCAGGAAAATAACCSAGAAGGAATTAAGGTTACTGTTGGTGCCAATGTGTTCTGAACTCCAAACTACTTGAGCTAAGAGCTGTCGGGAAAGGCCAAAGATGGAAGGAAACACCAGGGCAATTCCTATAGTGCGTTTGCAAGTTTGCTTCATTTTTATACCGTATGCTTTAAGAAACGTGTTAACTTTGTTCTCCTGCTTTCTGGTTCTGGTTATTTCAAAATAACCAGATCCCAAAAAATATCCAGCTGCTTTCTATCTACAAGATTATATACTTCTTCAAAACAGTGCTATACTTCTTATCATTACCTGGTGATTTACACGGCTCTYAGCTATACCTGCACCCTGGGCTCTCCAAAATATAAAGTTTGCAAAGCCCAGACCTCAGAAATTCTACCCCAGCCTATGAAAGGAGTATGAAAAGATGGGGAGACCGCAAGCAAATAGGGGTACTACTCTCTGCTTACATTCCCAAATCTCAAAGCCTCTTCTAATAACAAAATATCTCCTTCCTGCTTTGCAGGTTTGGAGGTGATGTAAATGGCAGTTTCCAGCTTTCCAGCTCRCATCTGCTGGACTGCATGGGGCAAATGTGGAGACAAAAGGCGACACGTGGCGAAGGAAGGCAGCTCTCTGCTCCCTTTAGGTGTTAGGGAAACATGTTGTGTTTCTCTACACCAAATCAGAGCTGGTCCTCCCCACCAGACTTACGCTGGTTGGGTCAGAAGGAGAAGACTGAATCCAGAACAAGAACTAATAAATGAAAGAAAGAAAACCTGTAGCTTTGTAAGCATCACGTAGAGCAAATCCCTAGGGGAAAATATACATCATATCCAGAATGCTATTTTTGCATCCATTAATTCATTACATCCAGATGTAAAATCCAAGGGCATTTCAAGAATAATTTATTAAGAAAATACAATGAAATAACAGCTGCCACAGAGCTGACCTGCAGGCGCTAGCCCCGGCCTCGGTATATATAGTGTAGTCTCAGATAATGAAACAGCCATAAATCACATGGCATTTAACAAGACAGTCACTCCATGGAGGTCAGCTCCCAGAAAAACAGAGCAAGCTTTACCCATGGAAGACCTACCAGCAAGTAAGGCATTAGGAGAGCTTCCTAAAAAAATATTTTGTAACACAACACCTTTCTATAGGAAAGCAATGGTATCGTGTGCCTTTTTATATAAAACTTGTACCCTTTGCTGCCTTCATGACACGTGGAGAATTGCAATAATGAAGATTGGCAATGACAGGATGTCAGTGTGATAAGTCAACCAGACCCTGAATTTGTGGAAAACGGGTGGATCTGGAGGTGATTTACACCTGCTGGCAGCGCCAGCCCAATAATGTTTCACTCTCCTGCTGAAATGGAGGTCATACTAACTCACACAGAAAAGACAATCTGCATGCTATAAATAAAGCATATAATAGAACTCACTGAGCTGATCTGCACAGGCAGCCAAGCTGCCAGTAATCAGCAAGGATACAAGTAAATGGGTCAGTGGGTGTTTCGTACTTGACTGCTCGCCACAAGAAGCTGCAGGACTCAGATCAGAAATCTGAGGGTCAGCTACACCCCCAGATAGGACCACACATTTCCTTTGCAAATTTTAGGTAACAAACCCCTGCAAAAGCACAGGGCTAGAAGAATAAAAGTTTCGCTAAAACGCTGCATCCTTCCAACATCGAAGAAGGGAGATCATAAAATCATAGAATCATAGAATGCCGAAGGTTGGAAGGGACCTCAGAGGTCATCGAGTCCAACCCCCCTGCTCACGCAGGGTCACCTAGAGCACGTGGCACAGGGCTGCATCCAAGCGGGTTTTAAAGATCTCCAAAGAAGGAGACTCCACAACCTCTCTGGGCAGCCTGTTCCAGTGCTTTGTCACCCTCACAGTGAAGAAATGCTTCCTTAAGTTCCTGTGGAACTTCCGATGCTTCAGTTTGAAGCCATTTCCTCTAGTCCTATCCCTGCCCACCGCTGAAAAGAGCCGCCCCCCTCCTCCTCACTGCCTCCCTTGAGGTATTTATACAYGCTGATCAGGTCCCCCCTCAGCCTCCTCTTCTCCAGGCTGAACAGACCCAGCTCCCTCAGCCTTTGCTCATAKRGYAGATGTTCCAGGCCCCTGATCATCCTGGTAGCCCTGCGCTGGACTCTCTCCAGCAGCTCCACATCCCTCTTGTACTGGGGAGCCCAGAACTGGACGCAGTACTCCAGATGTGGCCTCACCAGGGCTGAGTAGAGGGGGATGATCACTTCCCTCGACCTGCTGGAGAYGCTTTTCTTAATGCACCCCAGGATCCCGTTGGCCTTCTTGGCCAACGGGATTAGGCTGAAGAGATTGATGAAGAAAATCAAAACACCTGCCTCAAACTTTGATGCAGATCGTTGATTTTGCTGCCACCTCAGGCTAAGTAATTACAAATTAGCACATTGCCRTTCATTAGTTTTTAGCAGTCTTAATGCCCTCCTTTTGAGACATATTTCATATGACAATTACAGGCGCTTTGAGACACCGCCATAAACACCTGCACATCTGCCCATGCTCTAGTTTGCTGCTTCCGCTGGTTAAAAAGCTATTTATGATGGCAATTCCTAAACATTTGATGTAATCTGAAAGAGCACAAGCATCAAGAGAGTCCTGGCCTTCTTTGCTTCCTATGGCCTGAAAGCAAAACCGAAGGGCCTCAGTATGTCAAAAACTAGAGCTGCATCGAGAGAAAGCTGAGCAGAAAAGGAAGCCAGTAGCTCAGCACCAGCGCTGAGAGCTGTTTAAGAAGCTGGCACTTGGTGCCTCCCTGCAGCCAACACGCTCACTGCAGGGAGCGGGGGGGGAAAAGCAGATGTGCCACTGCCCGAMAGCCAACGCAGCAGCCAGCCTGGGAAACCCTTATCAAGCTACAAGGGCAGGCGTTGCTCAGGCTGGGCCACAGAGGAGGCTGTGGGTGCAAAGCCGCGGGGCAGCTGGGCTGATTTTGGTGGGACATGTTGGTCAGTCGTGTCCCCTGGGCTCACCTGATCGCATGCAACGCGCACGGTGTTATTACTGAACAATATTAAAGAGCAGATCTCAGGTTCTTTGGGTGCATTTTGCCGCGAGCAGTCTGACTGCAGCATCCCCTGAGGACCTTGGTTGTTATTTACAGTAACAGGGCACAGAGCAGCCACGGTGGCAGCGACTCCACTTACTGCAGAAACCACTATGTGTCATGAAAATGCCAATTCTCACTCATCTGCAGCCAGGGCAGAGAGACACCTCAGTGAAGAACCCGGGTGCAATATTAGGCATGAATTTCAGTAAAAAAAGCCCAGGCGAAGACAAAAGGAGTGTGTCCCTCCCCCAACGTACTGCTGTTATGTGGGAAATGGGGACATCTTGTGGTGGCCTGTCAACATTTACCCGGTGAGCTTAAGAGGCTTTTCTGTGGAAAAAAACACCTAACTAGGAAAAGTTCAGTGAAAATTAYCCRGGGAACGTTTAGTTGAGCAGGCGCRTGAGCAGAGCARCTCTGCTCTCCAGCAGCAACGCAGCTCGCGCACTCAGCAGCGCTCGCCCCGTCTCTGGGGGGTGCCCCCATCTCACTGAGGCTGCTTTTACCTGTCTCCTCAGGGCTATTTGCTGTTGTGAAGCTTTCCTGTTCACACAGAGCCGCCTGCTCCCAACACGGCGCTGCACCAAGTCCCACGGAGAGCCCAGCTCTCTCTTTCCCCGTGTGTGTCTCAGTTAGCAGAGCTGTGACGTCTGTGTTGACTGCCCTTCAGCAAATTCCTCAAGCACAGCCCCGTGCTATGCAGGGCAGCTGCTGAGACACCGACACTGAGATGGTCTTGCTTGGCTCTGAGGCCAGGCAACTAACCCCCCACTGCAGCTCAGCCCCACGTCAAGGTGGGCACAGAGCCTCGGGGTTAGCTCAGCTTTGCACTCAAACGCATGCCAGACTCCCCTATATAAAGTGACCAGGGCAGGCAGACTCGTCCTGGGAGGAGGCTGCCTGTAGCCCTGCTGAGGGCATTGCTGGCCGCTCTCCCCCTGCCCCAGCTTTCACAAAGAAAGCCCCAAACAAAAATGTTTCATAAAGGTCAAAACAAACATTCTGACATTTCTGAAACCTGTACTTGGACGCTAAAACTAAGCATGTTGGCATACTCAAAATCCACTCATCTCTGACTGGAAGAAAGTATTTACATACAAAACATTCAAAATGTTTTCAGGTATCTAGAAACTACTTTAGGGGCACTCCATTCATCTTTGCTGTATTTTAACTCATTACCCAAAAAACAGGAGCAACCTGTACAGCCAGRATCCTCTCCTGGCCTGGGGAAAGGGGCATTTAGAAACCTTTCTCTGAATATGCAGGGCAGGAGGAGACACAGGGGTGCAGCTTTCCTGCTCCTCCAGCGCAGTTCCCATCACTGCCCCAGTGCTGAGCAGCCACCAAAAGAGGATGTTTGGCAGCATGGACGCGTGTCCCCATCTACTTCAGAAAGCTAAGCTAGTAGAAAATAAATCACATTTTTCAGCTTTCTACCAGTTTAGTCCTCCAACTAGTCAACACAGGGGTGTGCAGGTATGCTTCTTGCCACCACCATGTGCTTGGCCGTAATGTGGATCCATGCCCTTACATTCCAATCTGTCCTTACGAGCCATCTAGGTGTCTCATCACGTACACAGCAGCCTGTGCTCCTGCCTAGTCCCCTCTTCCTGCCCTGCTATTCACGCACCCCGCGAGCAAACCCAGACTCCAGCAACTGCTCTGTGGCAGAGGCAGCAGGCTGGGGCGGATGGCACTGTGCCAGCCCCCCGCACCCTCCTCAGGGCACCCTCCTCAGGGCACCCTCCTCAGGGCACCCTGCAGCCGGTACCTTGGGTGCTGCTGGTGAAGGGCAGCGCGGCGCCCTCGGCCGCTTCGGCGGGGTTCTCCACGCGCCGCGGTGGCGCCTCCCTCAGCTTCTGCGCCTCCTCCAGCTCCGGGTACGTGCGCACGGTGACACACAGCAGCGGCTCAACGAGGACGTCCTTCAGCATGGCCGAGTCCAGGGCCTCGGCTGCCTTCTTGTTGATCTCCACAACTTCATCGCCGGCTTTAAGGCCTGCAGCGCGCAAAGACATGGGTAAGGCGCGTGCAGGAACCCCTCCATTGCCCRCACACACCAAGGAGCTCGTCTGGAGTATTTCTGTAGCCCCTGACAACCTGATGTCTATACATAAAGTAAATTTATGACTGCAAATGATACAGAAATTTCATGGATTTCTGCGAGACCTGTTTCCAGGCTGGTCCTGCAGTATCTACAAGCCCTGGGAGTCTCTCACATGTATTGACAGCAAGATGTGCCCTTTTTCTTCTCATCCCTCTGCACTTATGGATAGATTTAGACTTCTGAGCTCTCCTCACATGCCTGGGGAAGGAAGGAGCAGCGTGAACGAACAGAGTCTCCACCTCTGCTTTGGAAAGCAGGACCTCAGCAGCAAGAGACCAGTGAATCTCCTGGGACAGCTATGTTATTGGGCTGGGTTGACGCCTTCTTTTACCCAGTTGTTAAGAATTTTCCACATAGGTGAATGTTTTCATTGCTACGCCTAGGAAGACAGAAGACATTTCCCAGTGAAAGGAGGTATCAAGGAGGTATCCGAGATAGCCCCATTTGGGAGAAAGGCTAGAAATGGGGAAGGGAAGGAGGTTGAAATCTTTTGCCCTTTTTAGGAAAATTGAGATCTCTCTCAATGCATGTGATTGTGCCCAGAAACTGTGGTGTGGAACGCGGTTTCGGAAAAAATCAAATGAAATAAATAGAACAGCTACAAAGTAAATGGACCATAAAATCCTGTCTGTAACAAGGACAACACAAAGCAACTCAAGCATTTCATATTATTTCATTTATTCTACTTAGCAATGCCATGTCATAATAGTAGCACATTAATATGCCTGCAACCATAAACACTGGATTTGGGGCCTCATTTACTCTTTGTAATCCTGTTTTTTAATTATTTTGGACAAAGCATCATGCATATATCAGCACAGTCAAGCATCTCAAATTCCAGCAATGGTTTAGCTAAAGCAGACCATTAAAAAAAAATTTAAAAAAAGAAGAAAAAACAGTATTTAAGACTTTTTAAGACTTTTTTTGCTGGAAAAGAAAAACACAGAAACTACTGTAACTTTCCTGATTAAACTTACCATAGGAAGTGCTGTCAATGCAAACATAAATCTAAATAATGGGAGGAAGAGAGTTTTCACACCTGCTCTTTGCCAGTTGGGGGTATCTATCTTGTGAAAATATCCTATCAGAGACGGTTCACACACACCTGGTTTTTTCCATCAGTTATGAAGAGCAGAGCAACCCTGGCAGCTCGTTTTGGCGTCTCGGCCCCCCCAGGAGACAACCTGTGTTCATGCCTGTGCTTAAACTCCTGTTCCTGAAAGCAGAAGCAGGAGGCCTGGCTGGAAAGCCCCCCGGCCTGTGCCCTATTGCTCTGGCTGCTCCCCTCCACAGCCCCGCAGGCTCCCATTTCCCTGTTGCAGCCTGGCAGAGAGCTGCCTCCGTGGCCAGGGATTTGGGCAGCAGCCCTGTCCTGGGAACGGCCACCGTCAGCACTGGTGCTCAGGAGTAAGGAGGGTTGGGAGAGGGATACACTCGTCTCTTCCTGCTTCATCGACATAGGCAGAAGCCTCTGGAATGACCAACGCTGCATGGTCGGGTGCTGCAGGCTCCTGCAGCCAAAACAGCCCCTCATCCTTCCCTTCCCTCCGCTGCTTCCTTCCCCATCTCTGTCCTCATCCCTGCCCCTCCACTGGGGCCACTCCTGGCACTCGCCCCACTGCAGGGCAGCCTGGCTCCCAAGGCTCGTGGACCAGAACACCAGTCATCATCTGTTCCTGCATCCACAGTCTTCTGTCAAGTCAGCGAGCTGCAGGAGCTCAGCCAGGAGGCGGCACAAGGCACGGGGCCGGGGCATGCTGGGTGGAGAGCAGCCCCCTTGGCTTTCAGCAACAGCCAACTGTTGAATAACCTTTGCAGCAGCAGCAGCAGGTAGTCACTCCTGAGGTGTTTTTGAGGATGCTGCGCACACTGATGGGTTATGACAAGACAACTGTCTTTCCACTCTTCATGCTCCCCTTCTTAAAAAGCAGCTTAGGTTTCAACTGGCCCAGCTCCCTGACCAGCCTGCCCCACACCTGCATGAGCAGCAGTTGCCGGAGAGGGCAATACTGGACTGGAAGCGATATTGAAGTCCGGGCCACCAAAGGCAGCAGGATGACTTCTGTTCTACCTGTTTATCTCCCTGCGACTGACTTGGGAGGGACCACCCCTCCTTTCCAGCTGCAAGGGAGATGCTCACCTCACTACATACAGAGCAACCCCAAATTTAAGAGGGTGACTACACAGCATCCTGAGAGCAGCACAGAAGAGTATTTCAGGCTCTTCCCAAAAGACCGCAGCATCTTTGGCAGAGGAATCCAGGTTGAGGTTGTTTGTAAAGCTCCYGTATCAATAAGCTCATGGTCTACAGTAGGAGAACAAACCCAGAAGCAATAACAAAAGCATTGTGAAACGGTGAGGTGCCTTTTACCTTTCTTGAAAGCCAGTCCGGTCTCTTTGACCCCATTCACATAGAGCCGCCGAATCCCTTCTTCTTCCACAGAGGACAAAGAGAAGCCTAGGGAGGGGAGCAACAGCACCATTAGGACCAGCTTTCAGAATATTTCAGAATATTTCAGAATATTTCAGAATATTTAAGGTTGGAAGGGACCTCTACAGATCATCTAGTCCAACCTTCCTGCTCAAGCAGGCACACCTAGAGCATGTGGCACAGGGTGGCATCCAGGCGGGTTTTGAAGACCTCCAGAGTAGGAGACTCCACAACCTCCCTGGGCAGCCTGTTCCACTGCTCTGTTACCCTAACAGTAAAGAAGTTGCTCCTCACCTGGAGACGGAACTTCTTATGCTTCAGTTTGTGGCTGATGGGCTTCAGCATCTCCTGACCCAGCTGATGGGTTTCAGCATCTCCTGAGCCCACGTGCCCCCCGGGGCTGAGCCTGTTGTCTCTGCTGCGGGCAGGTTTCCTGACAAAGCGCTTGCCCTAGCAGCCCTAGGCGCAGAGCTGGCCTTTATTCGTGAAAGCAGCGCTGTGCCATGTGAAAGCAGCGCCGTGCCACACAACCCTGAGGGCCCCACCTAAGGAAGACCGCCCTCCCTTCTCCCCTTTGTTAAAACTTTACAAATGTCAAGTTAGAACAGAGGCACCGCTGTGGCAAAAAGCTGATTTTAATTTCCGAGCTGACATGCACCGTTTGCAGCCTCCCTCGCGGCTGCAAGGCGCTGCGGCCCGCGCCGGGCTCCTTTGCTGCCCTAGGGCCCCTGGAAGCGGCGCGGTGCTCCCGGGGGGCACAACGGCTGCTGCCAGCTTCCACCTCACAAATTTCCCGGCATTTGTATTAACGCGGCCTCCTCCTCTCTCCCTTTCTTCTCCCAGCTGCTCCTCGCATGACTTGCTCTTTGCGAAGCCTCAGCTCAGCACATGTTTTATAGCTCCGTTATAAACAGCCTTAGAGTGGAAGGATTGACACAGCCGGAATTTCAGCACTACAAATGGCACTGCTGTTACACTTGCCACGAGTGGTTTTCTTACCATTTGGAGCTGGCATTGTGTAAGATAGTAATGTGTAAAGGAAACTGTTTAGTTAAGCAGGTTGTATTTATTTACTGTTGAGAATTATTTGGAGTAGAACATTTGCTTTTCTGAAACTTCATTACTCCCTAAATAGGGGTAGGCAACCATTTGCTCTCTCTCTTTTTTATTTTCCTTTTATTTTTTTTTTCCATTTAGAAAAACACTTACAAACCTGTTGGGGGAGACATTTGTTCAACATGGAAGCAGCCACCAGCTAGGAAGAAGCAGATGTGCTGAGAGCCTATTGTGGCTTAGGGCTCCCTTTAAGTTGATGTTTAGGGATGAGAAGTCATTCTTTCATACAACATTTAAAAGAAAAAAGGGAAAAAAATAAGGAAGGGGAAGAATGCGGCAGCCTACAAGTCAGCAGCATGTGGCGATCCAGAGCTTACTAAGCTCCTTGGAGTCCGCACGTGGGTTCCTCAGCTCTCACTAAAATCAAAATTGTGAAGCTTACTCAACATATCTACTTTTCCAGAGTGAAAAACTCTTGCCTAAACAAGAGAATAGATGTAAAATATAGTAACTATTGGTTGTCATCACTGCAAAGCTTAACTGGAGAGTCCTAAACCAAAAGCACAGTGATGCATTTAGCCCAAGACTGCAGTTGGAGTCAGCACAAACTATCAGCTGCTAACACCACTGCCCCTTTGAAGTGCAAATGCTGTTTTACAGCACTGCCTTCACTCAGAGTGCCATGCAGCTCAACCAAGGCTGGGCTGCAATGCAAATTCCTGCTGTGAAGAGATTAGCAGACCCCAACCCAGCCCAACGCATACATGTGTATATGCATGCAGGGAGTGAGGAGGAGGGGGTTGGCATCTTTTCAGCGGTTGCCACCGATAAGACTGGAAGAAATGGCCACAAACTGAAGCACCAAAAGTTCTGCAGGAACTTAGGAAAAATTTCTTGACCATGAGGGTGACAGAGCCCTGGCACAGGCTGCCCAGAGAGGTTGTGGTGTCTCCTTCTCCAGAGATCTTCAAAACCTGCTTGGACGCAGCCCTGTGCCCCGTGCTCTGGGTGATCCTGCATGTGCAGGGAGGTTGGACTAGATGATCTCTAAAGGTCCCTTCCAACCCTAACAATTCTGTGATCTCACAGTTTATGTGCATATATGTATAGTACAGTTTTCACCTGAATGAATTCTCTGATTGCTCCACACAAACTCCTTGCACTAGGCTTGCATGACAGGAATGGCAGGAGTGGTAACAAGTGTCAGCAATTGCCTAAGCTGGCACCACTGTCAAAAGGATTGTTATCAAACCACACACTGACTCCGAAAAACAGGTCTAAAATGATGGGTTGTGTTCCAGACAGAGCCTTTTCTTTGCCACAAAGTTTTGATAACAGGAGGACAAAAGTCTGTTTCTAAAAATGTCCATGGCACACCAAACCAACTCCATACCTGAGCAAAGGCACGCTCACGGAATGACCTAGGCCCCTGACACTAACTTGCTAACACTTGCTAACAAAAATGCCACTGCAGATATATGTGCATGCCCAGACAGTGGCTGGAAGCAGCGAGCTCTTCTTACCGGTGCCCCGAGACTTCTGTCCCCACAACCCTGTGCCAAGAGGCTGGTGCCACAGACAGCAGGCAAGTATATATGTGTCCAGCAACAGCAACCAGCTGGCAAAGCTAGTAAAGACAAGGCCCACCAGGCTGGCCAGACACCTCAGGAGTGTCTCTTTCCACAAGGACACCAGTAGGAGTAGGAATGCTGCACCGTGTCCCTAGCCGAGCTGTCCCTGAAACGCTCTGCGCTGTCCGCTTCGCATCACTGGAACTCAAGTTGTGATCAGAGGTGACTGAAGCTGCTCTGAGGGTCTCTGAACGCCCAAGGTAGCAGCTCCCACCAGAAGTTCTTGGCTGGCCTGAATGAGCTTGCAAAGCCAGAAAAAAAGAAAGCTCTTCGCTTTTAGTGTTCTACTTTTCTGCCAAGCTGGGGAGCTGAACTGGATCATCCAATTGGACCTGAGCTAAAGCTTTCCACCTTTCTACCTCTGATACCTTGCCTGTTACATGGACACAGCAGCACTAAATCTACATTATCAGGATTAAGAAATAGCTGCTTCTGAAGTATCTTAAAAATTCAAGATGATTTAGAAGTATTATTGTTATTACAGCTCTACCGCTAGCAACAACAGCAGGTAGTATCACTGCTGACTTTCATAATCATACACATTTTCAAAATGAACACTTTTCCAATTCTTCTGGAGGCATCCAGGTACAGTTAATTTGGATCTATGTTTTAAAAATGTGCAAAAAGTAGGCAAAGAGTTGATGATTACTTGTTTTTAGTGCCCACCCTCCTTCAAAATACTGATTGTGGTGCTGGCTCTAGACCCAGTCCAACACACTTGTTGAAATTCCTGAGCCTCAAGTGCTGCCCAGCTATTTCACAACCAATCCCCAAAGCAGCCCTGCTCACAGAAAGACCTAGGTGGGTGCCTAGATGCTTGGAAACTAGGCAGCCGTATTTATTTATAATATTTATATATTTATATAAAATATATTTATATTTATATATATTTATATATATATAAATATACATATATATATGTATATTTATATATTTATTTATATTTATTCATAAAGACTTTTTAAAAAGCAAGGACCCTTAAGGATTCCTGTCAAAATAATCCATGTCAAAACTCTAAGTCTCTGGTCTTGCTGCTGCCGTGGCTCACGAGGGTACTTCACTTTCCAGATTGTGAACATACATCCTGCCAATGTTAATTCTACAAAAAGACTCTTTAAGTACTAAAAACCCAAACATCCTACACATACAAGACTGGAAAGGATCTCAAAATGAACCCTAGCTTACACCAGGCACCAGAGTACAGCCAACACAGCTCTTTCATTTATTTCTGCCCTCGCCCCCCCCAAGTATTTCAGAACACACTTGTCACTCAGTATCACTTTTATAAGATACACACAAAACAGAGGAATTCTGCTGCCCTTTAAAGCCAAGTAAGTTTTGCCATTTCTTTCAGCTCCAGATCAGCTCTGAGGCATTTAGCACTCACTCCATGCAGGGTCGGTCACTGAATTACATGCTGCACCCATGCCTCAAACACCTGATGTCGTTTCACAGACATCACATTGTCTTTCCCTTCTTTCACTTACAAAATAAAAGGAAAGGGAAAGGAAAGGAATAAACAGGAAATGCTAAGGACACCCCTAACCCTTGCAGTGCTTTCAGGCACAGCATTATTATTGAAGTCAGGGCTCCTGCTGTGCTGCTTACTGGTTCTTTCTTAGGCCTTCAGTATTCAAGCTGCAGACAGGACCACTGCTTTACAGCAGAGCTCGATATTCAAATGGCCTGCAGCTGTATAATAAGTAGTTTGGGGATCCAGAATTATTCATTAAAGCAGAATATTTAGATAAACACTAGAAGATGCAGACTGGTTGCCTGCAGGGTGGAGTGCATGGATAATGTTAAAGAAAAACACACAGTGAAACTGTAATTGCCAGACCAAAGGGCAGACTCACTGGGCTGGAGGTCGAAAACTCCAAATACCGCAAAGCTAAAATCCATGACCACYGCTGTAAAAAACAGGGATTTTGATGACATTAAACTGCGCGTGATGCTGCAGCTGTGCAGTTGGAGCAGAATGTCTAAGATGCGTCCATCGTTTGAGAAGCCAGGGGTGATGGGGCGCGGCAGCGGCGCCAGGATCTGCCAGGCTCCCGCTCAGCCCAATGGGCCCTCAAGGTTGGCTTGTGCAGCGCCACGAGGAGCCGCCGGCACCGSCAGCGCCTCGGCGGGAAGGCGGAAAGGGAGCCGGGCAGCTGCTTACCGTAAGTATCAGAGGCGGTGTCCGACTTCTCTAGCTGGATGTGCTGAGTGACCTTCTGGCAGATTTCTATTTCTTTGTAGAGCTGAGYAGGAACAAAAGAAAAGAAAACAAAATACGTTACTGTGACAGGACAGGTTTATTGTGCTCATTTTGAACAGATTTTTTTTTTTCTTTTTAATTACATGAGAAAGAAAGAGACTGTGGTCATTATATATTTATTGGGCAATTTTCTCCACACCTGTGAAATTTATTAGTAGGGGAGCTTTGCTTTCCTGTTAGGAATATATTTAAAGAGAAGAATGTGGTGTTTTTCTACTGCCAACATAAAGGCAGGGATACAGCTATTTTACTCAGTCGATGCAGTTTGGAGAGCACAAGAAACAGGGCCCCCAATCTTTAAATTTCAAATTTTAATAACCATTTTTATTTAACATTTACTATTCATATTACTTTAACAAGACATTGCAGGAATCTAATTATCCTTATAGACCTAAAATAGCACATATGAGTTTTGCTTCTTAAATACGTCTTTTTAAGTATAAGACTCTCAGATTTCACATCCAGTTCTTTCTTTTTCAGCAAAACATTGCACCTTTAACGTGTTCACTTGTACTGAACCACCTCCCCCCTGCCTTTGAAATCACCATAAACATCCTCCCTGGGAGACCAGAACAAATTCACAGCTCCAAGCAACACCCTCGAAGTCTACACATACCCTCCCAATTCAGTGTCCCCTTCAGATGAAGATGCAGCACCTCTGCAGGGCTATATCGCTCATCGGAGGGTGCAGCCTAAGTGAAGATGAACTGTGTTTTAACATCACTGACCTTCTGGTGGTCAGTGTCACAAGCTATTATATTCCTATTGTAACAAATGCCCTTGTATCGGTGCCTGTCACATTGTTTGAGATAGGGAAATTCCACTTTTCCAGGCAAAGTCACCTGGGCCAGATATTTAGAGGCTCTGACCTTTACATCTTTGGCCCTGACGTACCCTAAGCTATAAAGGAAGCCTGTGGCTCAGCACAGGGTTGGAGTTATTGAACTTAAGTAACAAACCACCATTTCCTCTTTGGAGAAAAATAAAGAAAAATCACAGCCGCAGGTGACTGGGACTCTGCAAGTAAATATTATCTTCCTCTTCTACGGACATTTATGCATGCACTTAATTGCAAATATTATGCATTAGAGAGCAGCTACATACATAGCTAAATCCTTACAGTGAGGACACCTTTCTAGCAATATGCTTAAAATGCCATTCTCAAGTACAGGAAGCTACTAAAAAGCTTTTTTAGAAGTCAAAGGCTATTTACAAAAAGCTCAGCCAGATTTCAGCAGTGGTTTTAAAAGGGCAAGGAGGCAAAAAAGAAGCAAAAATGGCTTTCACTGGCCCTGTTTCCAGGAGAAAACGTGTGTCTGATCCGGGCAGCCAACATGAGCAGCGAGCTCCATCCCGCCCCACCTGGAGCTGGCAGGGAGGGCGCCACTTGGCTCCCTGTCCACACCGTAAGGGGCCGTTTCAGGCAGGGACCTCCCAAAGGAGAGGCAGGTTGCTGGGATGCGGAGGGTTCCGCTGAGCCGCAGGGAGCGGCACTCGTGTCTCCATGACGGGAGGACAGGGATCCTCTTGGCAGGGCCCTTGGGAGCCTCTGCCCTCCTGTTGCCCCATCCGAGCGCCGCGCTGCCCAGCAGTGGCACACGGAGCTGCAGCCAACACATTCCCACACTTGCTTCACAATAAAAGGCACTTAAAGGTATTGTCTGAAAGGGCACCTCATGCTAAATATCCTCCCCCTGAGCCCTCCGTAATATTTTCAATGTGTAATAAAGTGAGCTTGGGAATTCTCAGATGATGTTAGAATACAAAGCGTCACCTGTAACGTTTGGGGGAGGAAAGGAAAATGGGTATTTAATCTCCATTTCTGACTTAAATTCAGCAGCTGATTTGCCCTGCCAGAAGACTGAATACCACCTGAAAAAATTATGTTTGCCTTTTTTGCAGTAATGCATTTTAAAAGCATTTATTAGAAGGAATGTAGCTCTAGCAAGGAGCCATCACCCTTAAATAATACCATAAACAGCTCTTCAGGAGAGTACAAAAATGCAGGTGTTATTACAGCATATTGCAAGAGAGCCCTTTAATCAAAGTAACTCGAATTTTCCCATGACATAACTACACACGCACACACACACAACGAGGCAAGCACACAAATGTCTTCACGGTATTAGGCTCGGCAGGATGGGGCAGCACCTCTCCATCTTCCAGCCTACTACAGGTCTCTGACTGCAGAGTCTTGGCTTGATTTCAAGTGCTCAGAATAAACAGTAACTCATGACTACATCAACTCTATATTCCCTCCGCACCAGAGAAATCACCAAAGTTCCTCCAGGCAATGAGAGCTAAAATCTCTCTCCTGTGGGTTTTAATTCTTCCCAGTTTGTGCTTCATTTCCCAGTTTTAGTGTTCCATTATTTCTCACCAATTCCTTTTCTTAATAGTGATAATGGCAACCGCCAGAACTTCATTACTAAATGAACAAGAGTATTCATAATTGGCAAAGTTTTGATTTTTATAAATAAAACAGCTACCAGTAAGAAAGACTTTAGAAAGCTGTTACAGCCTGCATGTGCAAAATTATAGAGTTAAAACATGACACTAATTCTGTTTGGTCTTTTTTTTTTTTAATCTCTCATTTTCAAATTCCTTTGAAGTCTGCTTTTGAGATGCACGATATGAATACATCTGACTGAAGCAATTAGGAAAGCATATTTTCACACACAGCTCCAGAGCTTTTTAACCTCAACTTCTACCTTCCTGTTTTGAAAAAAAAAGAAAAAAAAAGAAAAAAAAAGCAGATGTCCACACATTCCCTTTAAGAAGTCAGCCAAAGCCATCAAGACAAGGAAAACTCGGGCCGAATTCTAAGACTGTAAAGCAGATGAGACACACACATGCACCAAAGCAAACTGCCAACTCTTTTCTGAAGATTTAGTGTTTTGTGAAATTGTTTTACAGTTGGCCAACCTGTCACGACTAGCAAAGCACTCTTATTTTAAGATAGAAAGCATAACTCTGCAAATTAGGAATGCCAGATAGTCACTGATCAATAGTGTCCTACAAAGTGTCATTTCATCTGGCACCGGAGGTAGCATTACCAGTTCATAGATCTCTTCTTCTGGCTTTGGTACGTAAAATTGCATCTGGTTCTCGATGAGGAATTTAAGACGCAGGTAGTGAGCGCAGGGATCCAGCTGGTGAGTCTGCAAGGAGTGGAGAAAAGGATTAGAGGCGAAAAGCAACAGCTCAACTTACCTATAAATACAGGATGGAGGGAGAGCCACAGAGTGGAGGAGCTGGGGCTGCCCCAGAACCAGCTCGCAAAAGAGGCCTGAGGATTTCCTGACCTGGACAAGAACCTCTGAGGTCCCTTCCAACCTTCGGCATTCTATGATTCTATGATTCTATGATTTTCTTCTTCCCCTCAAATCAAATGCCCAAGTCAAGGGCAGAGCTACCACCCTAGGCAGCCTCTTCAGTCCTGCCTTTTTGGTGCTTCCACCCCATCCCAGGCTACGGTCAAGCTAGGCAAACCTGGGTAAAGTAGAAGAACTGGAGCAGACCTTTGTATACAAGTGCCTTTAAAATAGCAAGGAGGAAAACAAATCTTCTGCTAATAGAAAAACAAATGTATCTGGGGCTTTTGTTTTCCCATTTATTTTAATTTTTAGCTTTTTCCTAATTTAGCAAGTCAGTATGGTGTGGAAAATTTCAATCAAGATTATATAAAAATACCTGTATATGTCCTCTAAGCTCAAAACAGTGCAGGACAGGTTAGCTTTTGGCAGCCCCAGAAGCCAAGAGCTGCATACTGGATTACATCCCAGTGGAAACAGGTCACATCATTTTAATGAATTAGTTATAATTAGCAGAGGAGACGGCATTTGGTCCGGGAGATGCTAACGACCTTTTCTCAGCACGATTAATAAGCTCAATTTAAGCAGAGGTTAATGCAGTGTGTAATCAAAATGCATTAGAAAGACAATAAACACAACGGATGTCATTYAGAAGTTACTTGCCGAAGTTCATAAACTGTTTTTGACCACAGCTGATGAAAAGCCCCTAAGTGATTCACAACAGAATCCACCTCTCTGTCCCCTTCTGCATCCCATTACTACATGGCTTTTGCATTTGTCCTACTAAATCTACTCACAAATCTCCAAGGTTTCCCGGGTTTTCCTAAAAGCAATGGTCCATCTGAAAATTCCTGCAAGAACCTCACTATTTCTGACTCATTCTTTGTTAGCCTAGTGTTTGTTAAAGGTTCACGGAGCGGGTTCAGGCCAAGATGACACACGGCGACTCAGCTGACCCATCACATGCTGCAGATTGTGAGTAATGGACAGCGAGTGGCGGTGGAAAAGCCCACGCGCTGACCCAGCAAAGCCCTCCGTTAATACTCATTTCTGGGAGTCGGGATTGGTCTGTGAATAACAAAGAGCTGCCGCAGAAATGATGGTTGATGGAGCTACYGCTGCATTCGGCACGGTGCCACACGCGACACGGGCAGCTCCTAGACCAAGCTGCCCTTACGTGGAACTGTGGATCTCAAACAAGGTTACCTCTGGGATCTGGATAAATCTGCAGCAAATTAAAGTAACCTAAAATTTAATCAACGGCCAAAATAAAAACAGCTGGAAATTTTTCATATCATCCTCGCCCTCTCCACTTAATTCTCTTTCTTATTTTTAGAGAAGTATTTCCAAGGTTTCACTGGGTGTTTAATAACCATTTCTTACCAGGTTCCTCTTATACATGCACAGACGTATGAATGCAAAATAAAAGGACTCAGAAATAGCTTTAATTGTTCAAAAGTGATATCTGTGTGTCAGCAGATTAGCTGCTGCTCAGATTAGTTTATTATCCATAGACACAATGGGAGAACATCTTGCACATGAGTTAAAAACAAAAATGGAGAAGACACAGAAAAATAGAGATTGCATAGCTGGAGGAGGAAGTCAGGAGGAAAATGCTGGGATGAGCCTCACTGAAATGCTTGAGTCACCTAAAACAAAACTAATAGGGAAAATATGAGGGATGAATATCCCTGCAGAAGGACGAGGCGAGCAGCCTGGAAGCCTCTGCTTGCTGCTCACGGGCCCTTGTGCCAAAGATCCCTCATGTGCTCTGCGTCTCCCTCGCCTTTGGCTGCGGCCAAAYGAGCCTAGTGGTATGTGAGGCTACTGCCACCCCGCATGAAACCCAAGGAGGTGCCGGGTTGGAGGGCAGGCCCCATCCGCAGCTTGGCATCCCTGCAGCTTCCAGAGCGCGACTGCGAGCGTGCTGCTCTTACAGCGGACATGCAGGGAGACATTTCCCCCTGCACCGGGGGCTCTTTGGGAAGCCAGCGGCAATGGCACACTGCTGCAGAGGGACACGAATGAAAGCAGGCAGCACCTCGAGCGCGCTGGGTGGCTCCAGGCCAGCAGTGGCACCGGCTGCACCGGCAGCGCATGGAGCCCCGGTGCCAGCGCCGYGGCCTCCCGCTCGGAGCAGCCACGCTCACATCCGCCTGCTCCCATGGCATCCCGAGAGGGCAGTGATTCCCATGGGATATGTGGCTGCCCCAGGGCCCTGTTCTCGTGTGGGGAYGTTCGCTTGGATGACGTGCTTGCATCGGGCGCCTCGTGCCTGAGGAGGGGGCAAAGGCAGAGACAGCAGCTGCTGAGCCCAAGTGCTGGTACCTTCCACAGCTCGGTGTTACCTAACGGGGTCCCTGAGAAAGCCCCTGGATTTTGAGCCATTCACTTGCTTCCAAGAAACGCCATTACCTGCGGTGGATGCCATTTATCCGCCGCAGCGCAAACTCGTCCAAGTGGGGAAATGCAAGTCATGCAGCTAATCAAAATCTGAAGAGCTGCAGCGAGGCTTGGCTGCCTGGAAATTCTGCATTGGCTAAACTGCTCCAAAGATGGGCACAATTTCCTACTGAAGTGAAGGGACAAGGTCCTCTTAAAGATGGCACCACTCGACCCCCATAAGCGCTGATCTTGAGCCACTCATTTTTGTCACTGGTTCAGCCACATCCATATGTGGGAAGGTGGAGGCAGAATGAGTACAGCTTTAATGATATTAATATCCTCTTGAGACCACCCAAAACACCTCTTAGCGGTCCAAGTAAGAGTCTTGGTTTATTTATTTCTCTCCTAATATCTTGGGCTGTGTCTGGACTAGATTAAGCAGCTAACCCCATTTAAAACACAACTCGACASCTTAAACAAAATGCTCCCAAAGAAGAATTTATGGTCCAGGGTGCAATCCAATTCAGGAGACTCCCAGCAGCGAACAAGTTCAGTGCGTGCTCTGAGCRGCTCAGCCCTTGAGGCTGCCCTCTTATTAAAGCATGGGACAGGCTCTTCCAAGGTCAATTCAGCCTGCCTTGAGGCAGGCTTTGTCATTCCCTCAGGGGCCTCCTGCCCTAGTGAAGGATGGGGATGCAGAGGGGCTCGTACCAAACGGTGCTGCCATCTCGGGGAACTCCTCTTCTCCTGGGAGCAATGCAACTGGCACTTCCCGCYGGGCTCCTGCTGCATCCCTCCTGTTTCGCATCTCTGAGGCCCCAGGCTTTCACTACAAGAAAACCTGGGCCAGAGCAAAAGACACACGAGAAACTGCTCCTTGCCCTTCACAAAGAGCCTCTTTGGAAAAGGTAAATTAGGAGGAAACAGAATATTTTTTTGCTTCTCACTTTTTACCCAGCTCAGTACAAAAATGCCATGGAGTCTCCCAAGATCCAGTGTGGGTACTCTCCTCTCCATACGGGTTCTGCCTAAATCCATATGCAGTGCATGTGTTTCTACTGAATTTTTAGACAAGCTATTATGCAAATGTTAGTAATACATATATGCATGTTCACACTACTAGATGTTATCTATAGGGAACAATTTAATGCCTATATACTGATTTTCCTGCCTTCCAGATGATGTTATTAGTTAAATCTTTAGAGAAATCTTCAAGAAGCCACTTCAATATACACTGTAGACTCTTCTCTCTGCTAATCTTGAGTAATAAAAGTGTCACAAAGCAGCCTCCAAGACCTAACTCACTATATAATAACAAGCAGCAATGTTAGTATAAGAACACATTTTCTACAGTGATTTGAGTGCACTTAATGTTCCCCCATTGAATAATCAAGCTCAGTTTAACAGCACAGATAGATTTAACCACATCTACAAATATGAAGAGGATTATATGAAATGTAGATCTTGAAATGTTTACTGTACCAGAACATCACTGGCTCTCAGATGGCAGATGGCAAACTGATGTGAAATGATGTGGATCAGAGAGTAAAGGGRAAAAAATGAGCTGAATGCAAGAGACAGAAGAAAGAGATTGATTATTAATTGCTATAGAAAAGAATGTATCCATCAGTGTTTTCCAGAATGAAAACTCTAACAGAAAGGAAAGAAACAGATAACAGCTCTTTACAAAAACAAACACTCACCCACCTCCCCATCTCCTCATACACCACCACCCACGGCACTCACAACCCAGTTGAGAGACCAGACCCTCAGGAGCCACCTCGTGAAAGCCACAGGGCTGCACCAATTTACACTAGCTAAAGATTTGGCCCAGTGAGTCAATCATCCTATCCAAAGGCAAATATAAATCCTAAAAATAAAACATTACTAATAATGTGTCATCCTGCTTCCCTGTTATGTCTCTCTCCCAAAATGTCATCTTTTCCTGACAACAATGAGGAGCTTTCACAAGCTGCAGCACTCTTTAATAGCATACCTGGCAGAGAGATGAGCACACGGTGTAATTATTCCAAACAGACGCCTTTCTCTCACTTTCCTTCTCTTCAGAAACACATGCACCGTGTTCTGAAAGGGCCCAAAGTTAAGCTCTTAACAGAAATAAATGTTTTCTCTTCTTTTGTTGTTGTTGTACTGAAAAAGGGCTCACTTTTCAGAACAGCACGTGATGTGAGTTGGGTCTAGCTTGCAGTTAGCTGCTTGGTGGAAAACATACATTATGTGGATGCCAGAACTGAAAGCTTGTATTTAATTTGTCAAAGCTTTATACTTCACTGCTGAGCTGTAACTCTTTTAATGGCCATATGTCTCTGATACTTCATCTTGCAAAATAATCCAGGTGGGTTTCTCTCCCTCTTCCAAATGCAGATAAAAGCTTTCTTCTCTCTTCCCTCCTGCCACCCACACGAGGCCAACGTGACTCTGCAACGCAGCCCATAAACACAAACAACTTCACCTATTCCTTCTACTGCTGTTTTCTCTCCAAAATTCCTCCCCCGCGGCCGCCGGGGGCGGGAGGAAGCAGCAGGAGATGGAGGGAGGAAGGACACCTGGCAAGCGGGAGCGCCTGGCACCTGGGAAGGGGGATATCACCCTGCTCCTCCGAAGGAGGAGGGAGCAGGGAGAGGCAGTGCTCAGCAGGGCTTGCTCTCCCCTCAGCTGCAGGCCAGCAGGGGCTGCCAGGATGGATGACTGCAGTGCTGGGCCCCGGGGGCTTCCTGCAAATGCAGGATATCTGGGGCACAGCAGCTCAGGCACAGCTGGGGCAGAAGTGTCCCCAAAACAGCTTTTCTCCAAGAGAGAAGGGGCCAGTGGCGGCAGGAAAGMGCAAGGAGATAGGGGCACTTCACAGGCTCATGTGGAGCATCCAGAGCGAGAAAGACACAAAGCATCCCACATCCTTCTCCCTTCACCCACGTCAAGCCTGGCTGCAGCTGGAAGCTCTTCCAGCTGCTAGCTCAGCCCTGCTGAGGAATTCGGCGCCGCTCGGATCCTCCTGCCATGGTGCAGCTGAGCTCTCAGACACAGCGCGGTGTCTGAGCGCTGCGCTGGGAAGAAGCTCCCAGAGGCAGTGCCGGGAGGGCCCTGGCCCRCGCGCACCTCCCCACGCTCACTCCCGGGCCCTACCTTGCAAATCATCTCCAGCACGTCCCTCGTGGAGTCCCCGGGCCGGATCACTGTGAGAGCCGGCTGGTTGTTGGGCAGGCAGAACCACGACGGGGTGAAGTACTCGTGAACCCAAATGTCGCAGTCAGGGCTGTGCTGGTGCACGCTGCTCAGGGCCACTTCTTTTTCCCTCTGAACAGAAAGAATCCATCATAACTCTATCAGCCAAAGACAATCTCTCTGGTCATTGAAAATAAGCATAAGGAACATTATATGCTGCATCACAAGCCCTCTTATTGGACGCTTTGTTCATAAAGGTAGATTAAAGGCTTGTCTGGACTAGAAAATTTTGTATTTTATCTGAGCAGCTCTAAAGTATGCCTCCCCATGCCGCCCACGCAGCTGCACTAGTGCAGTGCACTTATCCTGGGATTTCACCCTATGGCTACTGGGAATGCTAAGAATGTAACAATAATAAGGTTAAAAGAGAGATGTAAAATTAAAACTTCAGAGCCCTGTATCTCCCAGTTATCCAACCCAAAACAAGCAACATTGTTGTAGGTGCTACAGTTCCTATACTTAAGGAATGGCAAAACAGCAGATAAAATTTTGCATTTCCTGTGTTTTACGCATCCAAGGTAGTTCTCAAGGTGTGAATCTCCAAAACATGATGGAGATTCACAATGCCTATTTGCTTCAAGCGGGCTCTTGGGGCCAAATCCATATGCACCACATTTGGATTCTGCACCTTAGCACCATCTTAATGCTGTTTTATAGCTGGGCAGAGAGAAAGCTGTTGTCACAGCAAAGGAGAAGCTCACAGAAGCATATGAAAACAAAACAGAAAGAAAACCTCTGTGCTTTCTAGCTGCAATAATCCTAAATTATGAAAACCCCATATGACCACCACAACTAGTTATTTTGCAGACTAGGTGGTGCCTGGTCCTTCTCTGAGGGGAGGTGCTTCCCTTGAGTGCTAATAATCCCCTTGGGTCTGGCACCTCCGCTTGGTCTCCGGATGAAATATGTTGACCACGRACCTCAGCTGAGATCCCCAGCACGCTGCACCAGGCTGCAGGATGCGGAGGGTGCGCTTCTCTTCCCGCCTCCCCGTGCTCCCCCGTGCAGAACCACAGTGGCTTCCCTGCCAGCAGGGCTCTCCCCGTGGCAGAGCCACCCTCCTGCCGAGGTCCCACAGCTCCTGCCAAAGCTGCATTCCAGCTGGCTCCGAACGGGAAGGGAGTTTTACCTTGCCATCTGGGATGGTATCATCAAAGATCCCTTCCAGAGACTTCTTCACCGAGTCAACCCCTTCACCGAACACCTGAGGAGGAGAACAGAGCTGCTTTAAAACATGAAAGCACCTCAGGAGGCTTGTTAAAAGGAATGGGAAGGTGAAGAACAACCCAGTGAGGAGGTGTGATGCTGGAAGACCAGAGGCTAATTGTGTATAAAGGCCTTTCATTGACTTACTCTTTTGAATTAATCAATTTTTATCTCCTCTTGTGCCCAGTTTCCCCATCTATTAAAAGGGGTAAATGATGGCTTACCCTTTTTACTAAGGCTATGTAATCTCTAGAAAAGGAGCTCTGCAGCTGGTTATTTTTGTAATAAAAAGTACTTAGGAAACACTCAGCTACCACAAGCCTGGTCTCAGCAAAAGTCTGCTCTAACAAAGTAAGAGCTGGTGATGCAGCATGAGCCAAAGAGCCCAAAGCCACTGGACTCATGAGGAATGGCAGAACAGGAGTATTTACAGGATCGACCTCAAATCAGCATGGGACGGCATCAGGCTGGCACATGTGCAAAACGCAGCAACCCACTCTACCGTGCGCACAGCTCTGCACTCCTGTCAGCTGTCTGCAGCAGATAAAAGCAGGGCGGTTCTTCCTGCAGTAGCATACAATTAAAACTGAAAAGTAAAGTTTTATAATTCCACATCACCACAGGTTTGTGATCAAGTTGCAGGTTTTGATTATTTAACTATACTGTACCTAAATGAAGCAGGAACAAAGTGTTTCTCTTGAAGAATTTAGAACTGTTGCTTTCATTTTGCCAATATTTTGCATACAACCACATACAAGCAGAGTGAAAACATTCAGACGTGACCCATAGACATATCGGCACCTTCACAAAGCTTCACTTTTCTTTGACTCTCTGAGACTGTTCTTTCAAACTTGGAGCAAAACCCCTTCCCTTTCCTGTGTGCTGTGAAAGAGTGAGGGGTCTGTGTACATATGTGGGCACGGAGGGCAGGAGGGAGGAAGCATGAAGAGCACATGTACTTCTACAGAAGGAACAGAAGGTTGAGTTCAGGAAGAACCAAGAGTACAAACATCTAATATCACAGCATGGTCAGAATCCTAACTAGGGACAAGGCTCTGCTCTAACAGTGGGAAAATAAGCATCCAGCAACCAAGGAGCCACTGCATCAGCACAAGGACTTCAGAATTTGTTCAGTGAGGTATTTGCTAGAGTACAATGAAAAAGAAATCTTTGGCTCAGCCACTGCTTTCCCTAATGGTAAACTAYTAGTGTCTCACTGAAAACAAGCTTAATGATTTTACAGCATATCCTCTGCTAAACAGCGCAAACACCCACTGCTGCTTTAACAAAAGAGAGAAGAAATCAGAGGTCACAAAACAAAACATGCCCCAGTCCTTTCTCCCTCCAAAAAGTGAAAGAACAAAAAGAAAAGTCTGCGCTTCCTGCAATTAGATGAGGTATAGCTCTCAAAAACTGAAAGCTATAATTAAGGATGTTTGGAAAGAATAACAGGGAAGTACCTTTCTCCCACACTGAAACTCTTCATGTAGCAAAAGACCTGGAGAGTAACTGGGTGTATTTCAGATTTTGTTTTTTTAAACATCTGAAGGAAAACTAGGACTGTCTCTACAAAGCTTTTTGTTGTTAGGAAGTTAAACTAAGTTGTTCATAATCTACACATTCAAATTTAAATTAAAAAAAAAAATGATGCCTCTTTCTGTTTTATTCTGCTGCTTCGTTGCTCCCAATCTTAGAGAAAGTATCCAGCAGAAACAGCAGAAATAAAATCCATTTGGCCAGAAAGGGTATGAATGTCAAACTTCTTTTGTACAGGAGTTGCTATATTTTTTTTTCTTCTTTTTTTTTTCTGTAATTACTGCTGCTGATTTTTGAAGAGGATGGACTATGCCCTGTGAACGATTGAACAGTCATCTTGACGTCTGGATGTGCCAATGCTTGACAGAAGTGACTTCACACGAGCTACGCTCTGCATGCTAACCAATATGCCCTGAAAATACCACACATTTCACCCCACTTACCTGATTAATGCTTGGCCTCCCTTGCTTTTTCTTTGAGGTAGTATCCAGCCCCCAAAGAGAAGAAAACCTGCTCCTCCGTTTACTGGCAGACCTGGACATGGCCTGTGTCCTCCTCCTCACTCCAGACTCCCCGGTGCGAGCCGCCACCTGTCAGGGCCATATGGTTTTAGAATCCAAACGTGCAGCATCCCACCGCATCACTGCTTACATAATTCAACGGCGGAGTCTGACCAAAAAAACCCGGCAAATCCTAGAGTAACAATGTGCATTCACAACAGGGACAACCTCGGTGCTGCCAGCCTACTTTTCTCCCGCCCATATTTCAACTCAATTCTTCAGCTATCAAACATCAAAAAGTAAAAGGGACAGCACCTAACAGTTTGGGGGCATTTAGTCTGAGGTACTTTAAAACTGCATAATCAGATAGAGTAAATAGGTAGCACCAGCAAAGGTTTTTTTTTTTTTTTTTTTGTGATTTTTTGTTTTACAAGGCTTCAGAACTGGACACCCAAAGGCTGAGATTTCAAAATCTAGGTGATTCTTCTGCAAAGTTTGGTATCTTTGTTTGCAATTTTCTGTGAAAGCACGCTGGGCTGGACTCATCACTCTTAGAAGGCCAAATGAAGACCTGTAAATGGACTTAAATGTATTAATGATTGGATCGGAATGGATTTTAAACATATTTAAAATCTGTGCTTCCTCAGAGATGTGCATGGGATCTGTAAGGAGTAAGTAAACCACAAGAAAAATGAGCAAAATGATCCATTTGATTGCAGAAGTGTTAGCAGCTCGGGTCCTTGAGAGGTGGCCCGTGGTGACCCTATCAGCAGAAAAGGCTGCTCGTCATCACCAGACCAAGCACCGGGCAGTGCTCCCCAAACGAGGCACCTCCTGGAGAAATCAGCACCATGCCAGTTAGAGGCGAAGTGTCCAGGCCGATGCTTGAGCACATCTCCCGCCACGGGGCTGAATTGGGCCCATGGGCGGCTCTCCTGGGAGCGGTGAGGGAGGCGGGGTGCGGGTGTGCGACATGGCGGTGAGGCGCGCGACACAGTAGTGGGCACACAACATGGCGGCGAGGTGCGCGACATGGCGGCGGGCACGCAACATGGTGGCGAGGCGCGCGCCCTGCCTCCAGGCCTGGAGACACGCTCCCTGCAACGCCCTCCTGCTCCGTTCCCACCCGCGAAACCAGCTACCAAGCTGCGACTGCCGCTGGGCGAGCCAGCTGGAGGAGCCGACCTTGCAAGCGGTGCCCCAAGCCAGGGAGCTGCCAGACCGGTTGTGTGGGGAGAGCCCAAGCCTGCRTAAGGATGGGAACCACACGGTGCTGGCCTGGACATCCAGGGAACGGCTGCTCTGTGAGTAACAGCGATTCCCCTCTGGGAATGTTGGGAAACCAAGGAAGGGGAGAGGCTGCAAGCTACTCCCTTTCCATGGGGTGGCCTGGTGACCAGGAGAGCTGGGGCTGCCCCGCTCTCACCATTCGGCCTCCAGCTCAAAATGCTGAGCCGCACTGCGCCATCTACATGCTCCGAGGGCAAAGGAGGACACGAGAGTTTACTTGAAGGAAAAGAGAGCACGTGTCTTCTCCAACACATTCAAAACATCTTCCTTTCACTCGACTCTCGAGAGAGACCAGCATGAGGAGGCAGACTGTTTTTCAAGCTAACACTCAGTGCTTTGCTAGATGCAAAGAAATAAGCACAAATGCAAATTACAGCCCGACACTTAAAAAAAAAATAAATCCACCAGCAATTATCAGGATGATGACGCTAATCTTTTGATATATAAAAGAATAAAAACGCCACGACTGAATTACTGCTCTGGATTCAATTGAAGGGTACAGCTGACATCTACAAGACAACAGTGGAGCTCAGCTATTTCTGCGAAGCTCCAGGAGCCCAAGCTGAAGCCGCAGGCACATGATTTAAATACATTAAAAAAAAAAAAAAACCACTACTTTGCAATACACTTTCTTGTATTTTAAAGAGCGGGGCTGTTACATTATTTAAATTTAAACCACCACCCTAAACAACTGATGACTTTTTGCCACATCTTAAGTAGTACAGGAGCACATTTCCCCTCCCTTGTGGGGCTCCAGTTGATCACTGGAGACTGGATATTAGACTAATTGGTCAGGAGTTTCATTCATATGGTAGAAAACAAGCATTGCCCTAGTGGGTCAAAGCCAACACACAGTGAGGGCCTTGGAAAGACTCCTATAGGCTTCACAGGGCTTCTGGATTAAGCCCATGCACACAGACATTAGGGATGAGCCCATACTACAAGTCAGATCTCAGTGTTTCCAAACTCCAGAATCACGTACATCCAGCTTTCTGTCTCAGGCCAATAGGAGAGATGGAACAAGCTGCAAAGAACAGACACTGACTATGCTAAATACAGACACTGTATTTTGGGACAGGCTCACTGTGAGCATCCAGAGGCACCCTCTGCCTCCGGTAGTTCTTGGAGCCCTTATGCTTGTAACGGGAAGATCTGTTTGGAGAAATCATGTTTACAGCACAGAACGGAAACATCAAAATCACATGGTTAGGAAGAACGTGGTTCTGCTTGCCATGATTTGCAAGCATCTGCTTTTCAGTTTACATCCAAAACATATACCCCTTTCAGGAAGCTGAATTTTCTGCATGCTAAGGTAAGGGCTCACCCCATAGAAACAGATGGCTGTTTGTCAATTTAATCTCTCTGTTGAACGCACGAAGGCGTTTGCAGGTTGGCAAAGATGACCCCTGGCCTCTGTTCAAACTTACCAGTGCATGAAACGAAGAGACTGAAAAGATCCCAAGGCGGCCCATGGCAACTTTAGTTGGACGACTGGCAAAAGCAAGCAGTCTTTTAGGGTTTGGGAGCTCCCCTCCTTGGAGACTAGCCAAGTAACAGCGGTACCGAAATAGATCCATCTGGAACTGTTCAAGGTTTTGTTCCCAAACGAAGATCTACACACAGAAAAGAAGGAGGAGTGGAGAAGAGCAGRGGAGAGGAGGAAGAAGACAGTGATAAACACCTTGAAAAAATTTTACTGCTACCACTAATACATCTCTTTTACCAATACTGATCTCATTTTCAGAGAATGAGAAACAAGAATTCTCCTTCTTCCTCGTTCTTCCCTCCCCTCCTTAACCCAATTTCTTTTTAAAAAAAGTTGTCATTAAATGGAAAATAAATTCTTTTTCTCATGTTCATGGCAGATGCCTTCTCGTGGGACAATTGCTCCTCTGATACACGGCTAATTAATAGTATTAAAATTCCTTTTTTTTTTTTTTTGTATTCCAGGATTCTCTTCTGAGCAGTCCCCGAAGAGGCTTCTTTCATGCATCAAGGGCATCTAAGAAACAAGAAGACCAAAACTCCCCARATTCCACCGGCAGAGCGCCCTGGATCAGCAGCTGCAACAACAGCACTGCTCTAAGAATCAGCGGATTCTTACACTTGAAAAAGTGAAGTACACTGGGGATAATTAATCTTATCAGTGGAAGAGCACTGTAATCAGCCGTGTGAGGGCTTATTTAAATAATTCAACTTGCTGATAGGAAACAGTTTCAAAGTGTTTAGAAAAACTCAAGTTACATAAACAGAGAGACCGCTCTGTCCTCTCGCTGTGACTGACAGCCTTTGAGCAAAGCCCTTGAACGGAGGCCAAGTCTCTCTCCCCTCTCCCAGGTCTTCTCGTGACTTTCTAGGTGGTAAAAAATCTCTTCATCCTTCCAGGTGCATTTGGCAGCCAGAGTAAAAGAGCTACAATGTAATGAAAGCAGGCACCATATGTTAGGTTCCTAAAACAAGGTGCCGCTGGGACAGGGGGAGAGACCCCTGCTCTAGGAGCGCTGCTTCTCAAGTGYAACCAAGGTGCTCACTTGAGGCTGGAGGGACCGGTCACACGGGGCAGTGAGGGCTGGCAGCCTTCAGTAAGGCTGAACCTTGCAGTGGGAGCCCCGGAGAGCCGCTTCAGTCCATGTGCCAGCAAAGAATCACAGGATCACAGAATGGTTGAGGTTGGAAGGGACCTCTAGAGATCATCCAGTCCAACCCCTCTGCTCCAGCAGGGACATTCAGAGCACATGGCACAGGGTGGCATCCAGGCGGGTTTGGAAGATCTCCAGAGAAGGAGACTCCACAGCCTCCCTGGGCAGCCTGTGCCAGGGCTCTGTCACCTTCACAGTGAAGAAGTTCCTCCTCACCTGGAGATGGAACCTCTTGTGTTTCAGCTTATGCCCATTACCCCTTGTCCTATTGCTGGCCACCAATGAAAACAGCTTGTCCCCTTCCTCCCTGCATTCTCCCTTCCTGAACTTATACATGTTAATCAGATCCCCTCTCAGCCTTCTCTTCTCCAGAGAAAACAGGTCCAACTCATTCAGTCTCTCCTCATACAAGAGAGGTTCCATTCCCTTAATCATCTGCATCTGATGCAAGCCAGCAGGACAGYCACCCTAGCTGGTCTGTGAGCAGCTCCTCTTTATGATATATTGCTACTTTTCCCCCCGCAAAGCCCTCACTCAGCATCCACAGTGCGAGGCAGAGCGCTCACATGGAGGCAGCTGTGCCAGGAGAAGAGCGCCTCTCCCCTACCTCAGAACACGTCGCTTGGAGAAATGGCGCCACTAGGGCAGCTGGCCCCACTCTCCCGTCAGCGCACGTCCTGCCCCCGCTGGGGAGCTCTGCCCACACRTACAGGCCAGGGAGGGAATCTGAAGAAGGCCTTAAATATTCCCTAGGGGCCTATTTCACGTAAGCAAGCAAGATTACTTGATCCAGTATGGTCTTCTTCTTCTTGGAGTCCGTCACTGAGGAGAGCTGCATTTCACCCATTTTCTTCATCTTCTCATCCATATCAATCTTCTGCTCCAGCTTTTTGATCTCCGTTTTCAGAAGCTTGACGGTGTCCTCTTTGTGATGCTGCCTTGCCACCGCCGTTGCACAAGCTGAGTGGATGGCAGTGATCCAGTTCTCCAGCTCCGTCTGGCTAGAGGTCTGAGGAGAGGGAAAGAGGGAGAAGAAAGTCAGGATTCTCTTTAAAATTTGTTAGAGATTAGCAAATGCAATTCCAAGGAATTTCCTTTCCCTTTCATCTTATGAATCAAAGCCTTATATCCACTTACAAGTAATAAAAAAAAAAAGTCATTCTTAAGCAGGTCATTTTTAGCTCAGCACCAGGCAGTCCGCACTTACAAATGCACCTATATCTGTGTCTTGCAGCTGTTCAGTGTTTCCCAGTAATGGGAATTGCTTAAGAACTACCTTGCTTGTTCCACGTAAGCTGGCATAATTTGTAGCTCATCATTTAATGACATTTTCCAGCCTCTTTAAGGCAGAGGATGCCCCGGTCTCTAGGCTTTTTGTAGTACAGAGAGAGTTTTTCACATCCAACAGTTAATAATAAATTACAGGCACAACACATGGTCGTAATACCTATTACTGACTTTACAACGATGCATGCACAGAGAGCCTTTCCATTGCTGAYGATCTCAAAGAGCTCTGAAGATAACCTGCACTGTGCAAGGCAGGCTCTCAGTTTTTTTATGGTTCTTGTACTGTCCCTTCCCCTGAATGTGTGTGACAGTTGGGGAAGAGGGGAGATGGTTGGTTGGTGCATGGGGCACCAGTAACTTTTTTTTCTGGAAGAGCGCTATGCTGACTAGAGACTTTTGACACAGAAGGAGCAATACTTCAAAGCATTCCTTTTCCAGCCTTTCAAAATAAAAAGCAAATCTTCTTAGCCTTCTTATTAAACCCCAGCCCTTTAGAGTAGGCTGTAAGACAAAATTTACAGCCAACTCAGTGCTGCAGCAGAGTGTCAACCTTCATCAGTAATCACACTGGTATTTGGCTCGTGGCTGGAGAAGTTACAAGGTGCCAAACCACCTTGTTCTAATTAAGCTTTCTGCTGATACCTGATCTATAAATAGACAGCACGGGATGATTTTCCAGTTGTGAGCTCAGCTGAGGAAGGTCATCCTCACTGCCCTCCCTGCAGTCACAAGGAACAGCAGAGGATGGGGCCAACTGCAGCCAGGGAGAGACTCCCACGGAAACTCAATTCTCCGGATCCCTCGTGCACCGGCCAAGCTCCACTTCCACGGGATTCATGGAAGGGAGGATGTATGTCCCAGAATTATATCATTTTTCCCTGAGGTTCAGTCCTAAAGAGCACAYAGGCTCAACACTGAATGGACTGATCATCCTGAGTTTGTGTCTTCAGTTGACCCCATGCAAAGCGTATTGCTTAAATTCAGCAGGCTCCCTACACAGGTCATAATACAAACAAGCTCTTGCTAACAATTATGGGCTACAATGTCTATTGCTACTGCTGCAGATATGTTCATTCCCCTTGCTGAGGAGTTCCTGCTGAAATTCAAGATTTTTTTTTTTTTTTTTTGTAGAAAAGGAGACCACCAGTCAGGTGGAGCAATCTCACCCCACCAGCTATAAAGACATTATTTGTACAGAAGACACTGCAGCTGAAATGAGATTGTAGATATGGTTAACTCCTTGTAAAATCAGCAAAAGCTCATATTTTTTATTTTGTTTCACTTCAAAACATGATCCGTATGTCATTGGATTCAGTTCTTGGTTGGGCTTTCTGGGAGAGGGATGGAAAAAAAAGGAATCTGAAAAGGACTCTAGGAGTGAAAGACTTTTTTGGAAGATGTGTGTGCAAGGGGAATCACTCTGCTCTTCAATTGGAAGAACTATGTAAACAGGCTGCAAACATCTGATATACATGGATGTGGTGTCACAAGTCGCTCCGAGCTGCTGGAAAATGCATGTGACATTTGCCAGTAATGGATGTGTGTAGGCACGATGAGAACTGACTGCGCAAGGAAGCACAGTGTGGGAGGTGCATGGTGTCTCCAGGTGCCACGCAACGGGAGGTGTGTTACAAGATGCCCCGTGTCTGTACACACCACCGAGCAATCCTGCTTTTCTCCCTAAGCACATGGTCTCYGTGGGACAGAAACAGCCCTCTGCAGCTCTCTGGTGTCTTCTCAACACAGCAGCTGCTACAACGGTGTGGTCAGCGTGGCTGTATGTGAAAAACGTTAGTAGCTATGGAATACTGCAGAACAGCCACAGGGAAGAGCCCRGTTGCTCTGGGTGCATCAGAGCAGCCCCACAGCACAGCACCTGCAYGTGACTGCCACCGTTACGGCTGATCTCCTTCCCTCTCAACCCACATCCATCCCTTCTTTTCTATTTTTTCCTGCTCCTGCTTCATTAGACTTGCATGGGTTCCATAACAGAGGGGACACATTTCCAGAAGGCAACATAAATTATTATGTGTGTGTTTTTTTTATTATTATTGCTTGAAAAGGCTYGTTTTTGCTCTTTCCCACAAAACTACATAGAAATCTACCCATGACATAATGACATAGAGCTCTTAATAAATAAAGCCCTATGTTGCCACAGAAGAAATGTACTGAATGTGACCTTTTCAGCATTTACCCTCTGTTGACATTARTTTTATGAGAATGAAGGGTTTTCCTAGGAAAACTGTAGGCAAAACAATTTATAATTCTTATCAGTAGATCAGAGAGTGCTGTTGCACTATGGCCTTTTCAATGCATGCTGAGTCCACGTGCAACCACAGTTGCCCCCGAGCGAAGCTCTCCAGGTGGCAAGGTACATTAGCCCTCCCAGAGCAGAGGCTGATGGAAAAAGGGGGCAGCAGAACATTACACTGTGTGCTGAGGAGAAATCAATCTGAGGAGGCAGAGGTTCACAAAACGTATTTTTTTTTCAGCATGCAGTCAGATACCAATCTGCTATTAAAGATTTGTTGTGGAGAACAAGGGAGTGATAGCAGGGGGCACATCCCTGGGTGGAATATCTTGTGGCTTAAGAAGGCAAGACCCTCTAAATATCTTGTCACTGGAAAGGGAAATTAATAAGGTATTCGTCCAATGAAGAGAACTGGATCAAGAGAGGAGGAAATAGCACAAGCTTTGCACAGGCTGGCAGTGGTAAATAAAAGAAGGTTAATCTTGACTGGCGAGGATTTGCCGTAAGAAAGGAGCCCTGGAGGGCACTCAAAGATGCGCCAGTAACCAAAAAGTGGAAGTATTTTTTTCAGTGGAATCTATAAGCTCATGTTTGGCCTTTGATATAAATTGTGGATTTCCATTAAGAAATGTACTCTGTGAACAACAGACATTTCTATTTTCTGATTAAAAAAAAAGGCCATTTCTTTCAGTCTGCTGGCAGACAATAGCAAAGTGCTGATTAATGTCTATACGAAGAGAGGGCAAGTGGATCCTGAGCAGCCACCGCAAATGAAAAGAACATCTGGAGCTGCAAATACTCCCTCGTACTTCAGACACCTTCTGCTCATGTGAAACCCTCCGGCCTCTCGGTATGGTCCCAGCTTTGATATATGTCTCTTATGAGATGCAGAGGTGTTCAGCACAGTTAAGGCACTGCTGTGTGTCCTGTGTGGTAAGTAAGTGGCCTGATCTGTGTGTTACAAACACACTGTCAAATAATACAAAATTCCTGATTTCTTATGGGGATATAACAATATTTCTCAAGGAATTAACAGCAAAGTGCAAACAACACAGAGAGGATCCAGCCAGGCAATAAAGCAGCAGATTTGACAGTGCTTCACATTCGGTGTTGGGTCTCCTGAGTGACATTTACGGGATATACTGCATCCTTCCTCTTGCTTGGCCAAAGGAAAATCCCAAACCTACTGGAGTCAGCAGGATTTCTCCACTGCTCTGCAACAGAGCTAAGATTTTCTCCCAGGTCCGTGGGATGAACCCAGTGAACACGAGAGAGGAAGGGAGAACTTGGGAAAGCACAGGAGCGCAACCAACCTGGAAGAGGAATGCGTCGCCGAGGGAATTGCTGAGGCAGAAAACAAAGTCCTTCTTGGGGTGCTCAGGCACCGCTTGCACTATGCTGTTCTCCACCCACACGGCGTGCTTGGGGATGCTGTTGTGGTCGATGCCAGATCTGCCGTCAGTCTCATAGAAGAACAACGTGCACCCTGGGAGAGAAAAGGAGATATCAGCACGCAACACATTGGGACACAGCAGCCACCCTACACCAGTGACTGGGGGGATAAACCAGCCTCGTGACTGCCACAGGCAAGGAAAGGGCACTGGCTTTGCCGGGGTCTCCGCAGGTTTTCAGCCTCACCAAGGGGCCCAGCAGCTGGCCCCACCACCCCAGCACATTTGACCACGTTTTTTAATGACTGGATGCAGAGGAATAASTGGTCTGGAAGGAGCTGTGTTCGCTAGCAGACCGGCACACCAAAACATGAAAAGGAAAAGGGAAAGGGAAAAGGGCAAACAAATCAGATGCTTATTCTGCTGTAAGGTTCCAGCTGTGAGTCACGGTGATGCAGCTGAAACAAAAACATATTTCAGTTGAGCTCTGCAAACAACCTACTTGTTTTATAAAATCATCTTCACAATTCTGTGGCAAAAAAACAAAGAAGTGTAGCAAATCTGTAACCTCGGGTCTCTTTTCTTTCCTTCCTCCTGGGTTTTCTCCCATCCTTYACCATTAGCTACACCGCTTTAAATTAAAGCTGGCCCGCTGTTTTCCTCCCACTAGAGAGAGTCCTCCTGGTGCAAAGCGAGGCTCTGTTTCCCAGTCAGCTCAGGCTCTCAGAAAACTATTTGCGGACAAACAAAAGCAGCTGTTAACTTCAAAGCCTCCCTTAAATACTGACACTATTAAAGGCACAGCAATTGAAGGAGCAAACACTCCACTTGAGGCAAAGTGCTTTAAAATAACATTGCCTTTCTGCTCATCCTTCCCTTTTTCCTCCCAGATGGCCCTTTTGTTTCCCAGCCCCTCACAGCAAGACCTTCCTGCCCCAGGGCCCTGCTCCAAGCAGATTAGGGCTTCCCTTAGCCCTTGGTCTGCCAATCTCACCTATTTTTCCCTTCCCTAGTTCCTCTAGCATGGGAAGAGCTGGCACACACCATGCTGTTTCCTTTAAAAACACATTTCCCACTTGTGKAGGAAGGAGAGGAACTTTCAGCCCTCCAAACTTTCAGGTAGCACCTTCTCTCCCRGGACATGGCTTGGTGCTCTGCCCTGCTCAGGCACTTTCCTACAGGGAACACAGGCGAGGCCGGCCGCAGTTGGGAAAGGGAAGGCCCTGGTTACTGCAAACTTTGCTTCCCCTTTTGCTGCCACCTCTAGGTTAATTAGGGGCTGCTTTCRGAGGCCAGCTGTAAGTTTTGCAGCTCTGTTAATACTCATTTGCATTTACAAGCACTCAAAGCCCAAATGGGACCAGAGCACCATCCTACCAGAATGTGTAAAATACAGAAAAAGAAAAGAGGGGGTGGCCTGGAAAGCGACGGCMAGGCAAGGGGAGAGTCAGGCGCCCTGAGCTGAAGCCACTTCCCCACCCAGGCAGAGGAGGAGCTGCAGGGCCTGGGTGAAGGGCTCCCAAGCCTCAGGCCGGGGCTGGCACCCAGAGTCCATCCTCTCCACGCTCACACCGTGTTGTGACTCCTCTGGGCTTTTATAGCACAGAATCAAAGAGCAGTCTCTGAGAAGCAGCGACCAGCAGCACAAAGTGCTGCCAAAAGGTGCACAAGGAGAGGCCTCCTGCTTGAGCACAGACCATCAGCCACTGTCACCTGCAGTGAACCTCAATTATCTCATCTGTGCTGGMTGCAGCAGGTCATTAGGTTTATCAGCAGCAAGCGGCAGACAAGCKTCCCAAAGGAAAACACCCAGTGATCCCAGACACCATCCGAGACGGTGCTGGCAGGACTTGGAGTTTGGTGTGAACCCGGTTCAGCCCCAGCAGTCCTGTGACTTTGACTACGCACACACCACCGCACGAGCACCTCAGCAGCCATTGGATAAAACCTTGCTCTGAAAAATCGGGGCCGTTTCCTTCCTATTAATTATACTAAAGTTTACAACAGCTTTTCTTAAGCTAGACTATGGGTTTCATTAGCTTGCTTTGTAATAGGGTGAAAAAAAAAAAGAGGAAAACAGCATACGGGAAATTGTTTTCCTAGACAGCATTGTTTTCCTAGAKGGAAACCAAATCATTGCACATGCAGGCCCCCATGCAGCTGCAGCGAATACGGCCCCTGGCAGAACTGGAACTTGTCTTTGCAGAGCGCAGCATTTAGACACTAAATAACATTTACAACCTCCAGACTTTGCGTCATGGGCCAAGTCCCGCATCAACACGGACGGCCCGGGAGGCCTCGGCTGCCCCGTACCTTTCAAGGACACCCAGTAGTGCTTCCATTTCCTGCGCGTGGCCGACTCCACCTTCTTATTCTTCTTGTGCACCAGGAAGTTCTTGACGGCCAGGGCRCCGGCCTTGCGCACGGTGCCCTGCGCGGCCGTCAGCAGGATGTCGGACTGCGCGGGCGAGCTGAGCGTGCCGCTGCTCTGCTCGTCGCTCAGCGCCGAGCCGGCCTCCTCCAGGTTCTCACTGGCGGTGCTGCTCATCTCCAGCTCGCGGCGGAAGTTCTCGTAGACGCCCTGGCGGAGGCCATCGCCCGCCGAGCTGCTCCCGCTGTCGCTGCCCACGAAGGCCCGGCCGGCCGGCGGCGAGTAGCTCGAGTTGGTGGCGTTGGAGCGCCGGGAGAGCAGGTCAGTGTCGGTGGCTGCGCCCTCGATGCCGCTGTCGGTGAACTCGCTCCCGTCCCCTGCGTTCACATCCTGCTTGTGAGAGAGAGGCGGCATCAGGCGCGGGGCCCTCCGCACGCAGAGCCCCCAACTCCCAGCTCCACCACGCTTTCCCACGGGATGGTTTACTCGAGCACGGGAATCCCTTCCATCTCTCTTCCAAGGACAGACAACTGGGAGGAGAGGTAAAAGGCAAGCGGGACGTGCAGCAAAGCCCCGAGCCCCATCGCAGGAGGTGCCTCTACAATCTCAGGATTTTGGAATGTAACATGTAGCCTCCTCTGTTTACATTGGGCTAAGTTAACAGTGCTAAAGGCTCGGCAAAAGGAGAACATATGGTAGCAGAAACTGACGGTGTCAGGAAAAGTGGCAATCAACCTACACATTTTGAAAAGAAAACATTGATATTGTACATGCACACCTACAGCTGAAGACATATTTTAGATATCCAAGCCTGTCATTTGCAAGTTATATAACTAGAAAGGTATTTTTTTTTCTTTTTCTCCTAAGAAGCTGGCATATTTGAAATTATTTCTAAGTTATTTCTGCATCCCCAACCCTTATGATGGGCCAGAACTCTGTTGCAACAAACCCTGCAAAAATGCAGCAGCACCAGCAGACAGTGCCTGGTCCCCAGGGAGACACGGAGGCCACAGGAATACGGAAGGCCTGAGCAGGGGAGCACAGGGAGGGACGGGGCTGGGGCCTGCGAGGTGGCACCGGGCACCAGGGCTGCCACCTGGGACGGCACTTCAGGCTCTGCTCCCACCGACTGCAGGGGGTCTCGGAGTGCCCAGCAGGAAGCTGGAGCCGCTCCCGGGATCTCAGCTCCAGCTAGCAACAGGGCCCGTCTCTCCCAGCACCCTCAAGTATTTGCAGCGGTGTTTTTAAGGGAGTCTAATAAAGCCCGAGCCTCATATCCGAGACAATATGCCAGGTTTGATGCGCAGGAGAAGGGGGAGACAGGGAGAAAGATTCCTCACCTCAGAGAGGTGAGGAATACATCTAAAACATCAGGAATTTCAGCTTCTGCCACCCGTACCTTAGAGGCTGAGGCTTGGTTTACAAGTTTGCAAAAAAAAAAAAAAAAGAAAAWATATGTATATACATACATATATACCTGTATATATGCATATGTGAAGCCTCTGAAAAGAGCCTCTGAAAGAGGCCTCTGAAAAGAGGCAGCAGAATGGMCATTTAATTTCAAAGAAAACTCCCAGGTGTGAACTCGGGCATAACTTCAGGGATACAAGGGCAACCCTGCAGAAAGGGGGAAGCCCTCCCGCCAGCCCRGTTTGAATCTTCCTCCTCCTCCTGCTGTGGTGCAGGAGCCGCCTGAGGCCAGGGGACAGGCGGGAGAGGGGCCGTGGGGGCAGGAGCGGGGGGATGCTCCTGAATTTGACTCACTTCTCTGGCATTCGCTTGCACTGGAAGCGCTGGTGCTTCATAAACGCTCCCTATCCAGATGGGCTTGGAGTCCAGCTGGAGGAGTATCCACTTCCCTCCTGCTCCACGAGCCCTGTTATCCCCCTCAGCCTCCYTACTTAAGGCAGCCCACAGCTGACAGACAAGCTGCTCCGGACGGGCCCCTGTTCCTTTCCTCCCGCTGCGCCCAAAGGAGTTGGGCAGGGTTTCCTGTAGGTGCAAGGAGCACTTCTCCTAACAAGAGCCATTATTTCTCCCGCTGTCCGGATGCACTGGTGCCAGGAAGCGAGTTATCCCCGTTTCTCCAAACACTGGCCATGGGCACCAGCCGGCATTTCCAAGTACCAGGAACGGTGTCCTTCTCCAGGGAGCCAGCCCGGCACGAGAGCGGAGCACGAGAACTGGATCCCATCCATGATGCCTCCCAGCGAGGCACAGAAACACCAGCTTCCCCATTTGGTTTCCAAGACGTTTTTCCCCCCTCAGTAGCTACTCTCTAAAATTGACACACTATTTTTTTAAAGGGAGAAAGTGTTTCACTCTTCTAGCATAAACAAATCTGCCTTCTGCGGTGAATATTATGCAACGGTGGCAACAAATTTATTCAAGGTTTCGAGATCTTTGTTTTACATAGATCATCTAATAAACACTTCTCTAGTAATTATAATGTCCATGCCGTACAGGGAGCGTAGAGGTCGTTTGAAAAGGCCACCTCATGTAACTCTCTTAGAAAGTCTTTTCAGTCATCTAGAATTAGGGAATTAAAAATAAATAAATAAATAAAAGAGCCTCCGGAGCCGGCGCATGGACCCGGAGGGGCAGGAGCTGCGGCCGAGCCAGGCGCCACCGGCACGAGGCTCCCTGGGGCTCTCAGGGCAGCCCAAGCAGAGGCATTAGGGGGACAGGGCTGACRTGCTGGTGCACAGGGGGCAGCCCAGCTTGGGCAGCCTTGGTGACACTCGGCATTAACTGCCTCAGTTTCCCCATCCCTGTGGGGATTATAGCGAATAACCTGTATAAGAGCATAAGGGCTTACTATGCATAAAAAACGTGAGGACATAAAGCTCCGAGGGAATGTCATCTACAAGTCAAGGGCTTAAATTTCTGTGCATTTTGTAAAAATCTTTATAATCCTTCCATAATGCAAGGGAGAGACTTGGATGGGTCGAAAGATCTTTCCACCCTAGTGATTTCGCCCTGATCCTCCTCTGCTCCCTGCAGCCCCTTTTCCCCTCTTAAACCCCCTCATATCAAACATTTCTGGCTAGCTGACTGCAGCCCTTTGGGAGGATGAGYGCCCTAGAGCCCGAGGGGATGCGTTGGGGCTGCCCACAGCACTGTGCCCCGCGCGCTGCACGGCTGCTGTCCCCACAAGGCTCCGGCGGGACAGTGCTGAGGTGGAGCCTGGCAACTGYGACACCCCCTGCAAGACGCCCCATAGAGGGGCTGGATGATGACACCGTTGGGCGCCCCGCACGGCCTCAGCGTCCCCCAGACGAGGGTGCCGCAGGAGCAGGATCCACACTGGGAGCAGCTCCAAGCAGCCCTGCTCCCCAGCGCCGACACCGCTTGGGATCCGGCCCCTTGGATGCCCTGGTGCTGGGATCCGCCCGCAGCACTGTGGCTGCTGTGGCCACCACCAGCTACTGCCCAGGCACAAAGGGAACCAGCCCCACGTGCTCCTGCCTGGGAATTACTCGTGTTTCCTGCTCCTTTTCCAAGCGCCCTCCAGGCACCAGCAACATCTCCTGCAGGGAAGAGCTAGGATGGCTCTGGTGCCATTCCAGGATACACCACGAGGGCTTCCTGAGGAAACTGGCATCTCAGGGTCACTCCTGGATGAAAGGAGTTCCCAGGTAAGGGCTGCGAGCTCCACAGTTGGGTACAGACACTATCACGGCTTCAGCATTCACGTCTCTCCCTCCTGCCCATCAGGATCCAGAGCGGCACCCGCTGCAGGAGCAGGGAGAGCCCCAAGCCCGGATGCACTGCTGAGACCGGCAGAACGCAGCAAATCTCCTGGAATTGCTGGAGCTGGATTGCTCTGGAATTCAGATGGCGACCGTCCAGGGGCTCCTTCTCATTTCACGAGCTTGAGGAAAATAAATATTTTATGCAACAATCCGGACACTGGATTGRGTATTTTGCACCTTGTCAGAGATCCTCTGTTTTCTAGCTTTATAGAGGCCCCTGGCAAAGAGCTGTCTCCAAGCAGGAATTTTCTACCCAGAGGGAGGACTACCGGAACCAAACGCAAGGCTGGGACTGAAATTTGTACGGCCCCTTTTGGGCTTCCTGCTGCTGTTTACCTAACTCCAGGCCTGGGAGGGCTGCAGGGCAGAGCAAGAGGGCGGTGGAAATCATTAAATTGGTCACAGAAAGTAGAAAGCATGTAGCGAAAACAAAAGAAAAAGTATTTCATCCAAGACAGTTCATGGAAGCCATGGGAATATTAATTCCCGGAATTTTCCAAACAGGGCAGGTTTTAATCCACGAAGAAGACAGATTGAATAAACAGGGACTTGGTCCTTTGGATTTAATATTATTTTACAGAGTGCAGGGAGAAAGCAGCATAAAAACTAAACAAGATGTAGCAGCTGTACAGCATCATCCAAGCACCCTGCACTATCCCAGTACCCTGACAAAGGCGCAATCCGTAATTTCCATCAACATCCTGTATCCCTGCTGTTGTTGAAGACGAGGGAGTGGTGGCATCACTTCTGACACGGACCACGCTATCACGCTGCTTGTGAAGAGCCACAGTTTGTGCAAAGCGGGGAGCAGGCAGTAACTCACCGYGCCGAGAAGGACCGGAACAGGAGGGCAAGGCRGACAGCCCTGGGCCAGGCAGACGCRTCGCGGCGTCAAAACCGGGGCCAGGCTGAAAGCTGCCACGGCCACCAGCAGCGCCGCAGGGCGCCCAGCCAGGAGCCACGCACTAGGGCAGCTGCCACAGCCTTGACAGCAGCCACCAACCAAGTGCAATTGTCGCAGCTCCATCAAATACAGTCTTACTGATAAACCAACTGGGTAAATCAGCAGCAGAAATATTTGCAACCTGTGTGAATATATGCTTTAGCTCTCACACAAGCAGGGGGGGTCATGCAAAGCAAGCTATTGGGAAAGAAGAGTATAAAACAGGTTATTATCATCTACTATTATCATCTGTCCCTGCTGKAGCAGGGGGGTTGGACTAGATGATCTCTAGAGGTCCCTTCCAACCTCAACTGTTCTGTGATTCTGGGACCATTCTGTGATTATATGAAGCTAACCTGCTGGTGCTCGAGCTCCTGCACTCTCGTGAGGTGCCTTCCCTAGGATGTTCACCAGGGCCGTCAGGTTGGTTTAAAACTCTCACTACRTTCAGATGACCCCCAAAAGCCCTCGCTGCTGGAAAAGGGTGCACCAGGTGAAAGGCTTTGGTGGCAGGGTCTGGAGGTCATGCTCTGCACACARATCTGATCTCCTGATCTCTGCTAGCAGGAGGCCGCTGGATGGGATAAAGGCTCCCCAACCACTCCTGCTCCCAACTGGGAACACTCAGTAACGCGCTCATTGCTTACAGTAACCCTGCACTGACCAGGCTGTCCACCAAAAGCTCTGTTGAA